AACCACGGAGCCGAGCGCCCACAAGTTCGGCTCCCACTTGTAGGGGGTGCAGAGGCTGCGGGACTCAGCGCCTCTGACAGGAGCGAGGCCGGCTGCTCACGTGAAGACCAGGAGGAGCGTCTTCACGGGAGGCCTGGCTGTCAGCCCTCTCGCCACGGTCTCCCCTCTTACCAAGCCCACAGGCAACCTCCTCCTGCAGCAGGAGGAAGGAGCAGGGCTCACAAACCTGCTGGTCACACGCTCACCTCATCACCTCCCTTCAACAAGCAGCACATCCAGAGCTGCCCTGCGTTAACGCGGCTGTAGAGCCCAGCGCCAACCGCACCGACGTCCAAACGATACCAGGCTCACGGACATCCAGGCCTTGATGCAAAGCTCTGACGGCCCTTTAGCATCACAACGAAGCCCTTCCTCCTTGTTCCACCCCGGGGACAGCTTTGGAATTCTCAAAGCCCTTCCGAAGGGGGTCAGAGCCAGCAGAGGCAACGGCAGAGCCCTTCCTGCTCTCACCCTCCTTCAAAACCCAAGTCGCCGAGGTCACTTTGCAGGGGGAAAACAGCGGCAGCCTTTCTTGGGGGCGCTGTGTTGGGCTGGAGTACCGAGCAATCCCCTTGGCTTACGAGTGACATGAGCACCAACATCTAAGTGGCCTCAGCAGACACCACCCAGATGGACACAGGCCATGGGGAAACGTGCCTCAGTTACCAAATCACCCCCAAAACGGCAAGAACCCGCGCCAGCCGGCACTTAGAGCGGGCCTGCTGCGTTACTGCACATTAAGACACGCTCTCCTTGCTTCTTCTTTGTTTTAAACAGCCTCCCAGCGAGAGACTGCCCGCCCTGCCTCCCCCTGCTCAGCCCCACAGGCTGCTCTAACAACCGAGCCTCACACGGCAGCGTTTTGAGGAAAACCTGCCCAAGCCGGGGCTGGAGAGCAGGGCACACCCCGACCTGCCACCCCGCTGGCAAGGCAGAGCCCCAAAAACCAGTGACTGACAGGGCAAGGCTCAGATGTTCAGGAATCCCTTTGTTTGCTTTCCCATTTAGCATCACCTCGTTTATCTTACCAGCAGCAGGCAAACCTGCTCCATCAAGCCTTTGGGAATTCCCAGAGGGAATACAAAAATACAGGCTCCAGTGTCCATCCCCCTAACCCAGGGCATTCCAGAGGAAAACAGTAACAATAAAACCCATCCCTCCTGGAGAACAAGGTCAGGAAAACCTCCCTCCTCTCCCCCAACCCGGTACACCCGCGCCCAGCACACCTACCCAGGTGGTCACCGTGCAGCTGCCAGGCGCACTTGAGGGACTCCGGCGCCGTGTGATGCCGGC